ATATAACAAGAAAGCTATACAATATACAATATAATGGGTAAATGACATTGGGTGTAAACCAGGCAGAGTAGTGCAGCAATTGCTACATACACGTAATGTAAGCATATTGCTACATTACGTCATTTAGCACTAGTAACAGCTATTTGTACCAGTTAGCATGAAAAAGTAGGGGAAGGAACTACATGTAAGCACTGACTGGTACTGTACAGTGTGTGTGTGTGTGTGTGTGTGTTTATGCTCGAGTGTATGAATAAATGCGTCAATTTTAAACAGTAGCCATTTGCATTTTGTTGTGTCAACTCTGTTTCAAGGAGCATTTGTTTAACATCGAGCATTTGTGTGTGTGTGTGTGTGTGTGTGTGTGTGTGCGTGTGTGTGTGTCTAAGAATGTGTGTATATACCTTTCCTGATTCTATTCCCTCAACCCCTCTCTCTCTCACACACACACATTGGCCTGGTCTCAGTTTGGCTGCTTCCTGTGCTTTCCAGGCCAAGATCTGAATGTAAGCTTGAATCCAAATGAGCGCTTGGTGGCTTCTCACCTCTCTGTAGGGTTGGAACTGAAAGTAGGAGCTAAAAAATATTGTATAAGCATATTGCTACATTACGTCATCAGGTGCAAAAGATTTAACCATACAAGTCTGCTAGTCTTTAAAATCAGTTATTTACAGCAGAAAGTGTAACGCTGTAATGTTTTGGTTTCACTGTGGATGCAGTCATGTCATTGCAGCATTGTTCGGGTGAGACCTCTTCTCATGCACTGTTGCTATGGCTCTCATTTATATACACACACAGACACACACACACAAATAGATTCACACACATTCGCACCTTTAACTGCTTCTCAATGTTTCATTAAGAGTCCGTTCATAATGGAGATTCTGGGACTAGATTGCTTCATGTCACTTTATAATGGGATTGTAATTGGATCTTTCTTGAAGGAGAGCTGGTGAGAGAAGTTTTGCACATCAGGGATGACATGAGAAAAAGACGGATTACAATAGTGATGTGTCGGTCGCGAACGAAACGGCTCTTAGAGCCGACTCTTTGAAGTGAACGACGTGAGCCGGCTCCTTATCACGAGCTGTGGGGGTTTTTTTCTTTCTCTCACCATCTCTCTCGCACTTTTTTTCCGCTTCACTCTGCACGCGAGCCTTGTGCTTTGCGCTGGGAAGAGGGGGGAGGGGCGGTAGTTACACTCTGAATAGCACAGGAACTAGTGATGGGTTGTTCGCGAACGAAATGGCTCTTAGAGCTGGCTCTTTGACGTGAACGACGCGAGCCAGCTCCTTATCGCAAGCCGTCACGTGTTTTTTTTTTTTTTTTCTCTCACCACCTCTCTCGAACTTTTTTTCCGCTTCACTCCGCACACGAGCCTTGTGCTTTGCGCTGGGAAGAGGGGGGAGGGGCGGTAGTTACACTCTCAGTAGCACAGGAACAGAGCGGGAGGGAAAGAGAGAGAAAGAGAGCCAGGGACAACGTCACATTAGAAAGGTATAGTAATCATCCACAACTATTTTCGGTTGCAGATGATAAAGGATTAAGAAAGTTTATTCATGCAGGCCCATACGACAGAGAATGTGCATGTTCTTTTTGTTTTCATATTTTAATTTATATTTAATTGCGTTGTGGTTTGCAGTGTTTTGTGTTGTTTTCACTTTAAATTTGTAAAAGGAAACAGCTGAAAATTTAAATAGTTAAAAGTTGAAATGTGAATAGTTGATTTTTGTATTATATGATTTATTTATTACATTTTATGTGGAGTGAATAAATAAAAGTATATTTACGGTGGCCCCTAGAGACAAAGCACGTACAAACTCCAAAACATGTACAAAACACAACAGAAGTGCTCCAGGATGCTGGGGGCAGTGTTGAGCTTTTTTTACCTAGTGGCTACACAAGCCAGGAAGTACCAACAACCAGATTTGGTGTGTGGTAGTAACAGGTAAATGAACATTTTTTTAAATTATTTGAATATATATGAGTGCTTGTGTATAAATACACAAACAATACACATATGCTTTCAATTGTGTAATTTAAGTGATCTAGGTAGCTCTGGTTTAGAAGTTCAGTTAATGCTAGAAATGTGTTTTAGAGTTTGTACATGCTTTGGAATTTGTACGTGATTTTTTGGCGTTTGTACATGCTTTGTTTCTAGGTGCCACTGTATATATTTATATATAAACATATATAAATAAAACCACTTTTTTTTTACATTAGTAATTCTTTTTGTGCATAATTTTATAGTGTTGTTAATAATAAATTAATTAAAGCAACAAAGCAACCTGAAGAGCCGGTTGTGAGCCGAAAGAGCCGGATCTTTTTAGAGAGCTGAGCCGAAAGAGCCGATTCTCTAAAAAGAGCCGGAAATCCCATCACTAGATTACAAAGAAAGACAAAATCATGCGGTTGTAATGTTTTGAGTTTGCAGTGAAGAGCTCCCCTTCCCATTAAGATAATGTGATCCAGGATCTCCCTTCTTAAAGGAGCTTTAGCCTTTCTAAAAGATCCATGTTGTAATTGAGGTCAAGTCTTGAGCTTTGAAAAACAAACAGATATTGCAGTGTGGACTTTTCTGGAATTTAGCTCGGACCACGTCCTCATTTTAGGTAATGGCAGATGGCTTGAACATGAATTGAGGCTGCGGTTTGGGGATGACCTCAGAGGGGACTGGCAGCGACTCCCTGGCCAGGCATATCCCCATATACTAATTGAAGGAAACTGTTTCCAGGGCCTACTCCGTGGATCGGCTTCCTCCGAGGCGTGGACGTCTATCAGCAGAGAATGTACCTTCACCTATCAGCAGAGAATGTCCCTTAGTCTGTAACACAGTCAAATATATTCTCAAGTAATATTCAAGCATGCCATTCAGCGTGTTAGTACGAGCAGCTCGGGAGCAGCTTGGGAGAACAAGAAAACAGAGACTGCTTTAGATTGTCTTCCCAAAGTGACTCAACTTTATTCACAAGTACAACAGTTTATATAGAGGGTAAAATTCATGAGACAGCAGATTATCAGTTTAAACCAGTACAGACCAAGATAAGGCAGCGTCTTCCTGCCCTTGGGTGAAGAAGCATCCTTTGTGTAGTTTATTAGTTCAGCTACAATTGTGATTATCTCAGCGACATATTTTCAAGGCACAAAACGAAGAGTTCTTACATTAGTGAAATCTGAAACAAACCATTTGGCCTTCAACAGGCGTCTAAAAGATTAAGAAACTAATGTAGCTGAGGGAGTGATCTCTGTGGTATTTCAACCTTGTACCAGCCTGTGATTCTCACACATCAATTCTTGGGTCAAAGAGAAAAATAACTAAAACAAAGGGGCCTTATTGAATGACAGAGTTTTCCTGCATAATGTCACTATAAAACAATATCCAGTAAATGCTCCCATGGTACTAAAATACCTAACACTAATGAAAAGTGAATGGATTCTAAAAGCATATGAAACGACCCAAGACTTTAGTGACTGAAAAATAAGGTTTAGCCAGACCTGTACCATGTGCTCTTGTGAGTCACAGATTAAACTTTTTTAATTCAGTAGAGCCTCAGCAGGCACAAGAACTTAGGCAACTGCAGCAAATAATGATCAATAGTGAAATAGTGAATAAAATAAAAGTTGTTCTCTTTCAAAAACAAAGCTTGAACAAAACAAAGATAAATGAAATGTGTCCATCAAGGCACTTTTCTTTAAATGTGCCTAAGTGACTCTACCACTGTGTATTGTAACATAACATCCTGCAAAGCAGGAAGACTGGTCTCAGTGTGTAAAATGAATGACGTACTGCCAGTTTTGTAGTAGTTCATGCCTGATCACGTTGTTCAGTGTAGACTCAAAAAGACGGGATCTGTACAAAAAACAGAGCTCCATCCTACAATGTTATGTGTTATCTAGGAAACTAGCTTAGCATTTCTGTTCAAATTCAAAATAATCCTGCTGTATATTCCAGAAGATAAAGAACTCAGATACTGTGGTTTCTGCCCGTGGCAATGAGCTGGCCCAGAGGAGTTCCCTGAGGCCTTTTCAAATCTCTAGAACCTCCGTCTGCCCTAATGTGCCCCACACTGTAATCACAGCTGCATTGCCTGAAACACAGAGAAAAGCTTCTTGCAGTCATTTTACCATTACACAACACTGGCCAACATCTGCTGGCTCATTTATTGTGCCACGGAGACAGTTTCCCTGTGAAATCACCTTAAAACTAGAAAGCACTGTGACCACCATCCATTCTGTGTCTCGTGCCACTTGTTAATTACCCATTGTGTGGTACCTGCCTGTGGGTATGGGCTAGCTTGACAAGCTAACAGAGAAGCTTAATTGGAGCTGACAAGCAGATACTTTGGTCTGTGGTCGCTGCTCACACTTCTGAAATGTTGCCCGTCCAGTGCTTATTAGCAACACTACTTCAGTAAGCTTAATGAAACAAATTCTTCATCTGTAAACGAGGCACTGAAAGAGAACATAAAATATATGAAGTGCTTTCTTAGCTGTCTCCTGCTCTAGGGCGAGGTAGAGAGATGGAAGCATTTCTCTACATGTCTGACAGAGAAGCACAGGAGCTCTGGCAGAGTTTGCTTCTACATGCGGGCATGACTGTGTCCCAAACTAAGTGACAGATTGCGTGGTGTCATGGCATGACATTTCAGCATCAGCCTGAAGGAAAAATGTCAATACCGCATAAAATGATACACACACTTTTTAAAGCAGAAGAAGTGCATGTTAGTGCAGCCTGACAGGCAGATTTATTGTATGAGATCCAAATTCTCAGCAAGTGGGTTAGGGACATTCACCGTAATGCAGTCTGTCATTGTGATCGGTCATCATTTTGTTCCCCCTACTGAGACATTTCAGTGAAATCCAATGAAAAACTGTATGTCAGCCATCCTCATCACTTTTTATGTTGTGTGTGTTTGTAGCTTTTGTGTAAATGGGTGACAGGTGCTTGTTGTAAAAGTATGTCCAGGGATCTGAGTAAATCATGTAAAAATGTATGTGTGCAGGAGAAGACCCTGAGACAAGACGTATGAGGACAGTAAAGAACATCGCTGACCTGCGGCAGAACCTAGAAGAGACCATGTCCAGTCTACGGGGGACACAGATCAGCCACAGGTAGGCGTGCAGAGCTCTTTACTTTGAACGCTTAATGGATGACCCTAATCTGAAGATGCAACAACACAACAGTTTCTGGTTTTTATCCAGATTATTTATTTTGTATAGCACCTTTCAAGATAAAAACCACGAAGTAAACGCACTAAAAATAAAATGGGGACCAAGAACAGAACCCTGTGGTTTACCATGTGAACCAACAGAACCAACTTGAACCAGTCATGTGTTTTACCAGATACGCCTACCCAGTGCTTTAGCCACAGTAGTATCAATACTTCCACAACCCAAATATAGAACATGCTCCCTTCGCAGAGCCATATGTATCATCACATCATCATCGCCACTAAAAATAAATATATAAAAACAATTTTTTTTTTTTTAAAGTTGTAAAAGCACAGAGAGGAGGTACAACACCTGGTAGACTGGTGTCAGAATAACAACCTGTCTCTCAATGGCTCACACCCCTCTGCACATCAACGGATCTGCTGTTGAGATGGTCAACAGTGTGAAGTTCCTGGGTGTGCACACATCAGCCGATCTCTCCTGGAACCTGAACACCACCACCATCATGAAGAAAGCCCAACAACGTCTTCACTTTCTTAGGAAACTGAAGAAGGCCAGTCTCCCTCCTCCTATCCTCACATCATTTTACTGGGGAACCATTGAGAGCGTCCTCTGCTGCTACATCACTGTGTGGTACGGGAACTGCACCCTCGCTGAAAACAAGTGTCTGCAGCGCATAGTGAGGACAGCAGAGAGGATCATTGGAGGCCCTCTCACATCCACCTCCCAACTCTATGACAGACACATCATCCGACGTGCGAACAGCATAGTGAAGGACACTCTCCACCCCTCACATGCACCGTTCTCCCTCCTTCTATCTGGCAGACTGTTTCGCAGCATCAAAACCGTGACGACCAGACACTGGAAGAGCTTCTTCCCCCAAGCAGTCAGAGCCCTCAACTCACTACCACAAAAGGACTGATATACACATACGCCTTTACAAACACCTTACAATACTCATCAAAATTATATTATATTTGCACATTTTGCATTTTGCACATGTCTTTGTCATGTCTCGTCAATGATATCCCGACAATAATTTGAAACTGGTATTAAATACTAGAGATGGCACGATACCACTTTTTTATGTCCGATACCGATATCATAAATTTGGATATCTGCCGATACCGATATGAATCCGATATAGCGTGTTTTTTAATCAATAAATTTTTTTTAATATCTTGCTGCTTTTTGTATAAGTTCAAACTCAAGTTAAAAAACAAACACTAAAGCTATTCTGTTACACCTGTATGCAAAAAATAGACTGCACCCAAAATATTTCATAGTTCAGCAACACTGATCAATCTAATAAACTTAAACCTGCTCCATCCTCCCTATTCTGGTATTTTAAAGAGTAAGCAACCTGACTAATAGGGTTCTAAAACTCCCAGCAAAAAAACCCAAAAAAATAGGGAACCACCCACCCTCCACCTCATGATGCTTAATCGACATAATCAACTTTAATTTGATGCAGTGTGAGAAAAAAATGCACAGAAATCAATTAATTTTGAAGAATAACTAAATAGATTCAACATCTTTCTTCAACAGAACTGCAGACTGCACAGATGGTACCTTCCCAAAGGAAAAAGTACTATAGCTTACTAGGGTATATTAGACTTAATAGTTACTATATACAGTAATGGACTTCTATACATTTTACATCAGATTAAAACTTTGGGTGTCAGATTCAGATAAATATTTATTAAAAGCTCGACATTTTAAATGAGAATAAGAAACAAAAGTATGTCTTTGTGCCCCCTTTCCCTGTTAATGCCATATCGGCCCCCCTGGCTAAACTTTGCTAGATCCGCCCCTGCACAGTTACCAGCTGTCAGCTGCGTAGAAAAAGATCCTGGTGTAGAAAGTAATATTAAATAAATTCTAACAACAGCTTAAGCTTAAACGTGCTGCTGTTGTTCAGCCGCTGGTTTCCTCTTTCTGGTGCAAAGTGGGCGATAAACAAACAAGAGAGACGGACTCACGACAGAAAAGCCGATCAGCTGATCAGAGATCCCTTCCCAGACGCCTTAACGCCCACTCACATCCTGGGCCATCTGACCTCAGGAATTCGCATGATAAGGTGGGGCCAGGTTTCACAATGAACACACCCGAAACTCTGGCTGATTGGGACCCACACCCAGTTTCACACCTTGGCTCAGGCGATTAGAGGATCATCAGGGGGTCCTTTTGTCCCTCCGTGGGGGGAAACTCCCACTAGGTTTATATCTGGGACTCTCCACCATTTGACCTTAGAACTGAAGAAGCTTCTCGGATGAGAGGTGAAACGTCTTCAAGCAACTTAAAGAAGTCCAGACGCTTTTCTTTGCAAGCTCCTTTGACTACGATGACCTGGATGACTGAGAACCTTCACAGACAGATCAGCTGATCATTGATCAGTTTCATGATTGAAGCAGCAGCAGGAGAGGGAGAGAGAGAGAGGCAGTCGCTCCATATATCGGTTGTTAAGCTTAACGCGGGAATGCTTTACAAACATTCAGAGATGACACTTGCTTTACTTCTCTCTGGGATCACTTCCTCGGAGATGAAATGCCGGATTGCTAGCGAGGCTACAAATACACACAGCCGCTCTATCACGTGACGCATACTACTCCAACGTGCTACAGTTATGAGCCGAGTTACGCCGTGTCGCAAGTTTTTTGATATTTAATGGATCGGATTACATTTTTTATTTCCCTTTATTTACGTCAGTATCGGACCGATACCGATACGTAATATCGGATTGGATCTATCTCTATTCAATACCTACTGCACATTCCACTTTGTATTGTCTCTGTCCTGTCTGTCTTTATCATACAGTTAATATTGTATAGTTACAATTATAGTATTGTATAGAATTGTATAGTTAGTAATTAGTACCTTTTTATCCCTTAATTTTACCAAAACATAGCATGTTATTTATATGTAATTCCTAGTTTTATATCTCTTGGAGATATATCCTTTATATATTTATAAATGCACCATGGGGGGCATTTCGGTACACTGTATATTGTGTATACTACTGTATTGACAATAAAGCTCTTGAATCTTGAATCTTGAGATTACCCAAGTGAGTTTGTACATCACTCGTCCTTAGCAAATAAACAGATCTGATTGGACTGACTCACTCTGTACAATTTATCAGGGAGATATGTCCCCAACTATTAATGATACTCACTCTGTAAGCATGCCATCTTCTCCTCCACCTATCCTGGATTTAATTAAAAGCAGACGCCACCTTCCTCACCAGCTGGCACACATGTAATGGCATTCAGGAGTTGATGGACAACCAACACCTTAAAAAGCTGTCCTACCTGGGAGCCGTAGGCACCGTAGAGAATCTAGTGAAAAGATTGCGGCAAAGGCAAAATGATCTATTGGTTTATATCAGCTCCCTGGGCGAAATGTTCCCTCCTCGCCTCTCTCCTTCACCCTCAGTCTATTATTTTGTGTGTTTTGCCCCATTTACAGAGGAAGATGGTGGCCGGGCTGTCGACAGCCATGACAGATGGCAGTCTGTGTGTGTGTGCATGCTTTTGTGTTTGTTTTCTACTCCTTTATTCCTCAGAGGAGTCTCAGCCAGGCACAATCAATACAGCGGCATTGTCTTACCACCACATTTAATCCAATGGGACCCACAGGTTTGGGGTGTGAGGTGTCTGATTGGTCAAAGGAGGCAAGTCTCATTTTCATGCATCAGACGCACAAGGCCAGTCAGCGTGAAGTATTTGAAAAATGCATCATCATACCACCACATTAGCATTGTGTATGGTGTATATGTGTATGTGAGTTAAAGCAGTGAAACAGTGTAAAACAGTAGGTACCGGTGGCAGCAGTATGGATCACCGCTCAGCTTTCAGTCATTAGACCGAGTGTAAAATGGGAAGTCAGCTTGTGAATGTTTGAATGTAAAGAGAGCCTTTGAGTTTGAATACCAATTCTGTCCACAACAAAAGCCCAGCCAGGCCACCCTAATCTCTCTCCTGGATAAGAAATGGTGCTAATCACCAAGAAGCTTTGTACCTCAGTTAATTAATCACTGTTACGCTCGAGCAGACATGGCTGTCATATTCATTACTCTGTCCTTCTCTTTGCTTCCTATATAGGAAGCACTTACATCTGTTTATACCCCAGCCGAGCAGACTGCAAGATTAAGAAGTTAGTTTTAGCTGCTGAAACATACTTAATTTACTTTTTCAAGAGTGCCTAGAAAAACAAGTGAGACTATATTTGCCAAAGATAGAATAAATAATTTGCCTATGCACCACTAAATGAATGAACAAGGACCAAAAGGTCTTCCTTTTGAGACGCTTTTGCAGTAAAGCATCTTACAGGAATTTTTCATGCTCTGTGCTCAAGCAAATTTGCAAAATTTAAGTGTGACTTTCAAGATAGGAATCGTGTTTTCATTATCTAAGCAGGATCAGATCTAACAAGACCTAGGAGCTAGTTATAGCTTGATGATTTTGATAATTATGGCATTTGACTCATTACATTCCTATTTTAAAAGATTTTCTGGTATTTGTACCCTTATCAACAGGAAAGAAAAATACTCCAAATTAAAATGTATGAAATGGTTACTTGAAGTTAAAAGCACATTATGTGCAGTTTTGATTGAAATGGGGGGATGATGATGCCATTACTAATAAACGCCATCTTTTGAAACTGTCATGGTCGGCTGTGTGGCAGGCAGGCAGGAGTGGTGGACCCAAAATGCAGGATTCTCAGGACACGAGGTTTAGACAGAAAATGCAGCTTTATTGCTGGAGCAGAACATCAAGATAAAATAAAACTCACAAAAGCAAACAAAACTCTAAACAGAGATGCAGGAGGACTGGAAATCCTAAACACGCAGCAAGTGAGGGTGAACAGACGTTAACAATGCGACACCGAGTAGGGGAAGACACAGACACTAAATACAAGAGGTGAACGGAGCAAAGAGGAAACAGCTGGGAGACACGGCTGACGTTGATTACACTGACGAGACAGGGAGAGCACAAAGCTGAACGCACTGACAAAGGACACAGACCTACAAAATAAGACAGGAAGCACACGCCAGACAGAGACAGACTCGTAAACAGGCATAATGAATGAATGAATGAATGAATGAATGAATATTCTTTATTGTCATTGTCACAGGTACAATGAAATTGAAAGATGTCTCTGGTCAGTGCAACATCACAAAAGATAAATACTTAAAAACTATAATTAAATACTTAAAAACTATAATGATAGGATATAAAAGATAGAAATACATATAAAATACAGTATTCTCATACCGTAGATACACCCAAGCAATCCAGGCCTAAGGCCCCATACAGACACTCAACATACGACCTAGTTGATATATCACTCAAACAATCAATCACTCAATCAATTTGTTAGCGCATCCAACAAAACATGTCTGAAAGCATTCCAACATCAAGGGCACAAATGACAACAGGGGCAATGAAAGTCATCTACTTTTAGTAGCATTGAGACATGATATTGCAATTGGGTAGAAACTGTGTTTGAGTCTGTTAGTCCTTGTGTATGTTGTTCTGTACCGTTTACCTGAAGGCAGCAGTTCGAACATGGAGTGACCAGGGTGTGAGGTGTCCTTTATGATGTTATGGGCTCTTTTGAGGCAGCGGGAACTGTGTAGGTCTTTCAGTTTGAGGAGAGGGCAGCCGATTGTCCTTTGGGCAGCGTTGATTACTCCCTGGAGTGCTTTCCTCTGAGCCACTGTGCAGCTAGCGTACCATATGCCTATGCAGTACGTTAGTATGCTTTCGATGGAGGCTCTGTAGAAAGACACCAGCAGTCTCTGTGTGATGTTGTTCTTCCTAAGCACTCTCAGAAAGTACAGTCTCTGTTGTGTCCTTTTCAGTAGCTCAGAGGTATTCACACATCATGGACAAACAGAGGGACATACGGGCAGAGAAGACTAAGCACAGGCAACCTAAACCAAACATAAGGGCAAGATAACAAAACCTAAACCAGACATAATCATCATCGTCATCAACATCATCATCAGATAACTAAAGAATCAGAATATAATTGTAATCAAAACAGTATCACCAGAGAATAACCAATCCATAATGCAAAAATAAACCAAAACATAAGAAACTCAAAATGCTGGGTCGACCCGACCCAGGACCGTGACAGAAACGGATCGTAACTTTAGAAGCAAGTTTGCAAATGCTTTTTTCTCCAATAAGCTCAGTGTTATGTGATTGCACACTCATACACATACATTTATCTTTTCTTTAAATAGCTTTGATATTATGTCAGAACAGACTGAAACTACGCCCTTGTCTGGAAGATAGTGAGGGCTAATGTTACAGAAAGGATTGACCCGCTTGACAGAGATTCATGTGGTTAAGCTACGGTTACACAGACTCTGAAACAGTCTCCTTCTCTCATTGAACTGACCTTGCTTTTCGCCATCGCACAGCTTGAGTGGCATTCACACCATTGTTTAGATATCCAGATGCGATGGGGCCCTCACATACAGCCCCACATTTCATTTACAGCCACTTTTTTCTATGCAAAAAAACTCCACATGTGAGGAAAAGCTATAATCTTCAAGGACAAACCTAGCACAGCAAACAGTCGAGGGATATCGCCCCTTTTTTATGTCAACCAGTCTGCTGGCACCTGAGGGATTGCCGTTTGGTCCCAAAGGGATTTAGCAACCGCCAGACGACATTTTGAACATAATAGCTTCCTGAGACCGGCTTGTTTATTCTGTGTTTACATTTGGAAAACAGTGAATATAGGACGTCTTAAATTATTCATTGCTTTGGAATGAAGGAGATTCTGAGTTGACATATAGGAATTAAGAAGTGAGGATATTATGTGTTATAATATGTGTACAATGTATGCGTCAATAGCATTTTTAATGTCAGCAGCCTTACTGCAAAAGTTCTAAACTCACAAAATACTCAACAAAACATGCAAAAATCTTAGTTGTCACACATGTATTTTCTCCCCTCAAAAGTTGGAGAGTAGCAACTGTGTAATCCACCAAATGCGCTGCTATCGCTGTTAACCTGATTATTGTGAAAGCAGAAAACAGTTTCAATAACTGCAATTTTCCAATAATGACAAAAAATAGAAAAATAGAAAAAACAAAAATTTGCAGATGATTTTTTTTTCATGCCAAATATCCCTAGGTTTCTATGTGCCCTACTAAAAATTCACTTCTTCAGTAGTTTGAAAGGTAATGTTGAAGTAAGTTGAAAGTTAAAAAAAATTCTTTAAGTAAAATTATTCCTCAATTTCATAAAAGACAGTAACTTATATAGTCGTCTAAAATAACAGTTAATAGCAAGCAATACAATATTATGATTTATAATCTGCAATCAGATCCACAACGAAGCATATGACATTTTATACATTTTGTATACATTATCAAATTTTGATACCATCTGTCTGCCTCAGAAGGATGATTGTGACTTGAACAGCAAGAGTGCAGAGTTGTGAATCTGAAAAACACACCATGACATGTGCAGTGTCTCTGAAGTGCTGCTAACGACAAGCTCCCATGAACTGGATATTAACACAGAGCTCATTAGCAGCTGCAAGAACAAGGTCCAGCATATTTATATTAAGCATTGCTCAGCAGTAAGCAGTGCCCTGCTGTCAGCATGCATTATTTCCATGCCAAGCCCTTGGACAAGCGTAAAAATAGTCTCAGATCAATTTTTGGGGGCTGTAGTCCTGTTCTATAGATAATGGAAAGGGTTTGTGGGAAATGTGGTCTTAATATTGAATATTTTTTATTGCTGTGTGTGTGTGTTTTGACATGAGTATACATATGTGGTGGGTTGGATGTGTAAGGTATGTTAGCACTTTTCCTGTACTTGCTGCTCAGGCATATTCTTGGTTTTCATGCCTATTTATTTGAACACCTACATGCAGAGTCACTCTCGGTTTATCTGCCTTCCTCATTTTCTCTCTCTGCTGCCTGGAGATAAAGATAAGCTGATTAAGTGGGCCACATTGTGTATGACTGGTTAAATGATTTTGATTTCTATACTGTGGCAAATTGATTTTGGATTTCCATATTTGGGTGTGATGGATAAGATAAGCATTCTTTCTCTTTTAGCTAGACACTATAACATTGAATCACCTACGTCACTGGCCATGTGAGCATGTGTGTGGATCTCAGGAGGTGTTGATAAAGATGTGTAGTGAATATGGGTGGCATTGCTGTCCTTCTTATGTTGGCACTTGGCATCTCAGGGGTGCAGCGTTCTGTCCTCTCGCTAAGCACACACACACACACACTGTTCTCACATCTCTAACACTGTTATGTGTGAGACGCTGTTTTAAAGTGTCACTGCTTTTGTCACCTAATGAGACCAGTGTGCAGAGGCAAAGGCCTCTCCTACTACTCCCACTACTATCCTGCATTTCACTTGCGTGATGTACTACAGTCAGTAAGCCAATATGCAAGAAATTATGCAAAATTTTATTATATTATAAATATGCAAATAATGTTTTTGTTTGGTATCTGATCATAAAATCATTATATCCTGTCCTGAAAAACAGATGATTTGTAGCGCCTGCTACCACTTGTGTTATGTGCATCATTTCAATTTCATGCTAGTATTCTGCCCACAGAAGGATGTTTGTGATTGGAATGCACATTACCAGCTTATCCTTAAAGTAACAGATTGTCAGAGATGCCTGGTTTTATGTTAGGTCTGTCCGTTCTCTCATTATTTGACTGCAGTGCACTCTTTTCCCCAGTAGAGAGAGCTCAAGTGAGTTCCCACTTTTCTCACTGAGAGTGCACATATGCTGTAGTTTGTGGAGTTGCGGGGCTTGGTGTCCAGTCACTTTGACTCATTTGCCTTACTTCTATTATCCTGTTACTTCACATAAATAATTAAAGTTTCAGGCTGGATTTTGCTTTCATTCCATGCAATAAATCATCCTGATCTTTCAAATGTGACAGTTCTTACATGCAGATCCTGGTAAAGACTTGGAGGGGAAAAGCAGCAGTTCCTCAGTTAGTGGAGGATGGTCATAGTAGTGAGTCAGTGCTTTTTGGTCTCTGTCCATCATTACATCATTGTCTTTTTCTCTTGTACTCTTATAGTACTCTTTATCAAACATTTTTTGGCATTTTCTGTCATTAGTGATTAAAACAATGAGATTTAATACAGGTTTCATGAGATGGGTTGGGAATATTACAGCAAGCGTTCCAAATTATTCAGATTGTCTTCAAAATAGTCAAACCTGCCAATGACTAGATGCACTGGCAGGTGCTTATTGTTGTGACATTAGCAGATGTGTTTTGAAGAGGTTCATTTCCCTTCTTTAGCCTTGTTAGGGCACCTAATCCAAATGTTATTTTCTATCAAATCCACTTGATAGTTGAGCGGAAGCAGAGCTGTCTCCTTCCCTCCATTTCCATCTTTGTGTGATGTACCGTGATGCTCTGACATAAGTTCTCATGGGAGTCTTTCTTCTCTCCTCCCCCTTCAAGTTAAAACGCTGGAAGAAACAGCACTTTATGAAGGTCACACACTTTTAAATGCATGTGTACACACACACACACACTCATGCACGCACGCACACACACGCACAAACAAGCACAGTGTTAGAAAAAGGACATGTGAGATGAAGGGAGTGGAACTCAACTGTAGAAGGCTGTCTACTGAAAATATGACTGATCTTTTCACCTGATTGATTTGCCCTTTGCACAGGCGTGTACTTGGTATTACTTCAGCGTCTTAGACTTGTGATTTTTGCCAAGACCCTCTATACACCTAGCAATCTTCAAAACTCTTTTAGGATTTTCAAAAACATCATTCTGATGGGGAAAACATTTTTAATGTATATTGTGAGGAAATATAAATTATTTTATTCTATGTCTCTACCCCTCTTTCTCCACAGTACATTAGAAACAACCTTTGACACGACAGTAACCACTGAGGTGAATGGGCGGAGTATACCTGCCCTCGCTGCACGCTCCTCCCCCATGTCCTGGCGTCTGGGCCAATCACAAACCCCACGTCTCCAGGCAGGTGACGCCCCCTCGATGCCCAGTGGCTACGCTGCGCCCAGGGCGAGCACAACAGGCGCAGGCACCACCACAGGGCGCTATAGTGGGCACTCAGACCCCTCCAGGTTTGTGTACATTTAAGTAGTAAGCCTGTGGCTATTTTTTTCTCATTTTCAGTCTTTAAGACACGAGTAACCCTCCCCCAAAAAATGTCGACCAGTGCAGGACAGTGTTTTGAATATTTATCTTAGGGCTATTTGTGATTTCAGTAACTGAATGAATTTTTGATGTTTATAGTCAAAATAAGTTGAATTGGTTTTAGCTGATCCCTCTGTGCCACGCTGTGGTGTGAAACAGCATTCTGTTTAGTTGTGCCTCCTACATTTATTCCTCCCTCTGAATAATGTAGCTCTCAGCCTTTTTATGCACTGAACACAGAGCTCGTAGATTTTAAACATGTTGCACCACCATGTAATCCATGTAAATTAAATACATAACTATGCTTTGCTGTATAAAGAAGAAATATCTTAAGTGCACAATATCACCACCACATCATTTATACTCAGTAAAAGTCCACTTTAAAGGTCATTTGTTTGCTAACATGTGACAGATTTCCATTTCAGTGTGCAGAAATTCATGCTTAGTTTGTATTCATACAGTCACCAAGGCCTTACCTGCCTTTCTCTGCACATTAATACAAATAGCTTACTGTCATACAGCAAGGCTATGTATACTTTTTCATAGTAAAACCACACACAGGATGTTTCAAGTAATACATTTATGTGAACCTTGAGAGGACTCACGACACTGACAGATTACCTGAGTGAGAATGGATGAGTTTGTGTCTTCTGCAAGTCATTACAGCAGCAGGCTTCTGACCTTCATTCGCTCAATAGCAATAAATGACTTAAGCACGTAGGAGAAAAGGCTTTTCACATTTTACCCACACAATCATGTGAGCACACACTCCCAATAGAAGATATGCTGTAAAGAGAAAACTGTGAGGGAATGGTGTGATGTAGCAAGGTATCTGCAAGATTAAAGAAGAAGAACAGAGCAGAAAATGTAACAACATGTTGGGAGGGAAAGGTGATTAGCTGAATTATTAGCTTAATTAACTCAGCGCTAATGGCCCCCGTGTTCTACCAGCCGTGTCTGATAGCTATCTGGAAGTTGCCTCAAATCTTACCGCTCGTTCACTGTCAGGTACACAGAGACACAAACTCGCTTCTCTATACCGACTTTGCAAAATCCACACACAGTCTTCATGTTCATTATTTAGATTAGCCAAGGTAGCATCTTCCTTTATGTTTAGTTGACATAATTTGCTTCTTCTTCACTTAAACAAGGACCTTAAAGTGTAAGAGCCACGAGTTAAAAAAGAATAACTTTCTAAAGCAAACTGAAGTTAAACGTTTATACCTGTAATTTGTTCTCCCCTCACAGATACCTTACAGATGGCAGCCTTCATCTGTATGCACGGAACACCGGCCGAGCCTCAGATGCAGCTTCTTCTCGAGACGTATCCCAAAGAGGAAGCAAAGAGATGCAGGGTGACATTGACAGGTGAGGATGGAGACTGTCATAGCTGCCTGTTTTTCTGGTGCCTGTTTGATTCATTTGTGGTTCACACCCGGGAGTAGCTCCGGTTTCACACTTTTTGAGATTCATGCAAGCACATTGTTAATATTCAAATTTGAACACAGCTTTTCACATTCCACTTTTGATTGTTGGCTTTTAGCTGATGTTTTCCTCTCCCGAGCATCTGGCTGTGAATTTGATAGCTTCGTTGTCATTCATTTTCAACCATAGCCAGGTGGGTGTTTGCTAAGACAAACCCACTGGACTGTGCTTTGCAGCCAGTGATGCATGTGCGTGTGAAAAAAAAGCAATGTGCTGTGGTCAGAATGGCAGAAAGGTTGGCACCATAGCAACTGCAGCCATATCATATTATACCTGATTGTATCTGTCGGTTAAAGCATTCAGCACAATGAGCATTATGGAGCTAAAAAGCATGAATATCTGGGTATATTACCCAAAACAATTAAAGATATTAGATATCAGTACAAAGATATTAAAGCTAATGGAATATATAGGCTTTTTAGGATACAAACCTAATAGGATACAAAGTCCAGAGAATGGGCAAGTGACTAAGGCTACGTCCACACTAGCCTGGATAGATTTGAAAACGTTGTTTACGTCTGAAAACGCTCCGTGTCCACACTATCGTTTTCAGTCGTTTTCACAGAGTTGTGCGTCCACATTGAAACGGCCGAAAACGCTTACGTTCCAGTCCTGCGCATGCGTGGAATGCAAGAAGATTCGACCTGCCTCATTTCTGTCTGCCATTTATTTACTTTCCGGCTCTTTGAAACGTTGTGGCAAAATGTCATTCCTGGTTTTTAGATGTGCCTGGCATAAAAAAAAAGGGTAAGAAGGAAGTAAGAAATATGTCCTTCAAAGGTTATACAAGTCTGCTGTAACACCATCAGAGATTTAAAGGGGCGAAGGAGGGTTGGCGATCGATTTAAAGCTGTCAGGCTAAGATTGTGATGACAAGCCATCAGAGAGACTGCTGGGAATTGACTGATGCAGTGACATTTCCCAGTGTCACAGCTTCAGCTTCTGTCAAGATTTTAATGAGTGGCAGCGTTTAGTAGTCCTGTGATTTTAAAGATTATGATTCTGTTAATGCTACATGTGCATGGTTACACTAGGCAGATTTACACAATATGACGCATGACTTGCAGAAACACGGGTGATATTTTGCTTGTAATATGTGTGTTTTCTGTATATGATTCAGTTGTTTTGCAACCCAGGCAGTTTTTCCATTTCTTGGTTATGTGCTCAGCCTCACAAGCTTGTTTGTTACAAGCCAGTCAGTCAAGCCAGTCAGCCCGAGGTGAGTTTGATCATATCTGTGATTGGCCAAGCGGCAAAACATACTAGTCCTGACCAGAGGTTCAGAATAGGAGATTAACCTGCCCCATCAGTCTCAAACCGATTGACCTATCAGATTTGACACTGAGGCAAAAAGATGTCTTAGGATAAGAATAAAAATGAACCAAGCAAACTGCCAAGGCTCAGCTTCACCCTGCATTTTATCTCTGTATTTAAATATTTTTGCCTAAACTGTCTCTCACCTTTCCTTGACTTAAATCCAAAAATGCTCTGCTCTTTTGAACTAAAGTCAGCAGTAGCATTTTGGGCCTCAGGGGCAATGAGGAAATATTGATGCCCGCAGGCTACAGACTCCCAGAAGGAAAAGAATTTGAACTCTGGAACCCTGTTTACTTCATTCCTTCCTTCCTTTTCCTTTATGAAATCAAGTACATGCAGGCAAGCATATACACAGAAATGCACAAAATGCATGCCTCTCACGTGTTATTGTCAGTAGCTAGGCTGTCACTTCCCACGGACACGAAACTCAGGGGGCAAATCCATTTCTCACTCAGCTCTACATTTCAGCCTGGCTTTACCTCTGTGGTACAGCGTGCTTTTCCATAAAGCCCCTTGGCTTGAAGTGAAATGAGTAGAGGATGAGGCCCAAGTTTAAATAATTTGTTCACTGACTTTAAACAACTTTTTACCTCAGATGTGTAAGCTGGCTTTCTAGGAATGACAAATGCAAGAAAGTATTTGATCTCGCACGTTTCATGTCCAGCTATCTTGATTATAACTGCTTAGGAGGTGAACATACTGTATCCATGAAATTCTGCCTGCCCTGTAACTGGCAGCTAGTGTATGATACCTTTCTGTCTCAAATGTCCGTCCAACTGCTCTTTTGTCCAGGTGAACATACTTGGCTTAAATTACTTGGCTTGGTCATAATTTTAGGTGATAACTAGTGCATTGAATGACTGTTAATATTTCTTCTGCATTTATTATCAAAGTGTTAATCAGATTATATTTTCAATTTAATATATTTTCCAAACTATTACACTCTGTTTTCATTTAACACAGCATCCCAATTATGGAGGAGATTGGGTTTTGACTTTGAGAAATTCTTAGATTAGAGTCTGGGATTTAATCCGTCTCTGGCTGATAGTTTGATAGTGTAAGTTTACTTTGGAACAAATTATTTGTTCACAAGAGATAACTGTGCATTTATTGTTCGTTGGTTTTTTTTATCAGCAAGGTAAATAATTTGTGGCCATTAAAATTCCCCCCCTCGTCCTTCTCCTTTGGATTTCCTTTCTGTCATAAGTAATAATTGGAAAACTGCACACACAAGGACACACACTTACACTCATGTCTTTTACACCACCTCAAGCATGAGCACGGATACAAAAATGCACATTACTCTCTCCGCAGTTCTGCTGGCAGCAGTAGACAGGGTTCCTCAGAGGCAGAAAGTGGAAGTTGGTCTGTGTACGTAAACTGAGTTCCCACGAGGCTCGTTATGTTTCGTGCTTTTTACAGTCCATAACGGCTCCCCTGGCTGCCATCCATGGCATTTTTATCCCAAACCAACACAGCCCCTCAGGATATGTATCTAAATGACTCATCATGGCTGGCAGGTGACTGAAACCATCTGGGACTAGGACCACGTGGACTTAATGTTTACTGTAGTGGTCATGACATGAGATACTGTATGTGCGCATCTCCATTTCTTTTTAAATGAGCTGTGCCAGTGTGTCTATGTCTTACAAAAAGACAAAAGATTAGAAGAGGAGTTTTATTTTTGAGTGCTTTCATCCTCAGTATTAGGACAGAGCCTAATTGTCATAGAACAAAGTCAATAAGCGTCACACGTACAGCTGCTTTTGATAGTAACTTTATGGTTTCCTGCAGGTGACATTGTGGTTGGAGATATTTCAGGTTTTCCGCATGTGGATTCCAATCCCACTAAACTAATAATCTGAATACTTTAATAGAATTTCTTTGAGATTAGCACAAGAATTCATTGGGACTGTAGGTGAAGATTTTTTTAGTCAAAGGTCAAGGTCACTGTGGAATTAATTAATGACAATTAATAACATTTTACAGTCAGACAAATTTGGACAAAAGGCGTAAACTGCAACTTGACTGGCTGTCAGAGGCATCCATTCGCAAAGTAGTATTCCAGTGATTTCATCTGTGCTAGAACCGAGTACCCTGGAGCCAACCATCTGCTCGAAAACAGCTGAATGACAAAAGCTCAGATCCCTCTTCTGATCAGTCTGCTTCAAAACAATGCTGAGTTTAGCCTTGGCTAAAAGCACCTGCCTAAAAATACCTTCTTGTTATACAACATAGATGAGCACATGCTCATGGCTCTGCTGTCAAGAAAAGACGCCCAAAGAGAGTGTTTTGACACCAGCAGGCTCCCCGCTCTCAGTAGAGACATGAATAAGTAACAGGGCTTCTCTTTTAGCATCCCGGTGGCTCGAGTGTGTTGCCATCTCTTTCTCGCAGCTGGACTGTGGCAGCTGGCTCTGCGTTTTTTGGTTGTCTAAAGCTTCGGGGGCTTGGAGACAAGTTTATATGTGTTGAAAGTGTACTGTGGTTGTGTTGTCCATGCTTCACAAAAGAAAGCTTGTTGGTGTACTACATTTAAGTGTATTTAGGTGTGGGTGTATGTGTGTTTGTGTGCATGTACAGACTTCTCCATATGCCGTGTGTGCTGCTGAGCAGCAGGATTCGGCCTGTCACTCCGCGTAGCAGTGACAGTCGCAGAGAAGCCGCTCTACTTGTCTTTGCTGTCGTAAGCAGTGAAGAGATTTAGAGGAGAAGGTTTTTTTACTACCAATGACAAACGCAGTCATTATATAAGTCTCTCTCATTGATCTCTTCCAGGGGCACCGCTTAGGAAGAATATATTTGTATTGCACCTGAAACTGGAGCGTCTCAAAGCTTCTGCTATCTAAGCTTTCTAAAGTCTTCTGGCAACTGTCAGTTTTTCAGACATTTGTCCTTTTCAGTATTTCCACCTCAGTGCACACCGGCTAAACTTAACAAATTGTGATAATTGGGACATGCTTTATCACTGATTTGAGTACCCAACTGTGTGTATGTTCATGCAAATGTGCCCTCACTTGTGCAGATGCTTGCATACAGATATATTTCCTCTCAAAAATGGGCAAATTGTGGCCCACACAACCAGACTCTAATTAGCCATCTCTTCATTCAAAGATGCTCGAGGGAAAGTTTCCCTGTTTTTGGACGCTCCGTTTTCCTCCTGTTTCCTATTCTTTGGCACTGATATAAGTGTGTTGTGTGTGCATGTGTGTGTGTGTGTATCTGTGTGTGTGTATGGCAATAATAACTTTTCTGTGTGGAACTTCAGGAAGCACATGCTGCTAAATGCAAGATGGACATGACATTTCTGACTTTAGGAGTACCATTGAATCCTGGTCTTATCTATGTTCCCAACACATATACACCAGCACACATGTACACATGTCTTTCTTTATATACACACACACTATTGCTTACCCACACACATCCCATAAGTCTTACCCTGAACTGACCCCTCACCTCCTAACTGCACCTCAAAACTGTTTCTGGGTTCCACTTTTCCTCACAGTCAAATATGTGTATTTGATCTTCCAATGTATACTCAGCTGATCTGTCAAATGTACAAA